TTAATAAAGACCATTATGAATATATTAAAGATTTATAATATAAGAATGCTAAAAATATATGACATTTTGTCATTTATCATTTCAAGATGTAGCTTCTATTCAGAGTTGAAGAGTAAATGTAGAACATGGGTTTCTAAAATGTCACAAGATTAGCATTTCTATGGAACAGGCAATACCTTCTGCATACTGATTAATTGCTTTCATGTGTTGACAAAATCTTTGTAGCCATGACAAACTCTAAACTCTCTAAATTCATCGAGAAAGTGTTTTCTAATCTGACAGTGTTAAACAATGCTTTTAGGAAATTACCTACATTAGACAAACAATATAAAAATAAAAGAGAAAAAAATAACTTAGTTTAATAATAAAACTTGTAAATAATTCAAAAAACAATTTACAAAATGCATGTGGTGTAATTCTATGCATTCTTCAGATATATAACACTTTTTTGAATATGAAATATATTGACACAGCTTGTAATTGTGATCAATCTGAGATGAAATAATTACAGAAAGTTAATTTCTGATTGAAGCTACCAAGTTTATATTAACATTTCTTTACCTTAAAATCCATAGCTTCATTGTTGTGATGGCTTAAGATGAAATGACTAGTTCTTAGGTAGAATAACTACAAATTACTATATACTGCTCTAGATGAAAAATTAAAACTAAAAACACATTATCTAAACTACAGAATTTTTTTGTTCAGGGCTCTTGGCTTTTAATCTGTTAGGTACTTAGGGGAAGCAAAAACTTATCAGTATTTATCTATACTATATACATAGAACATCATATTACACAGTACAAATGTTTTATACTTGTAATCATACACAACAAATCTATAGCAAGTGCTAATAGTGAACTCAGTGGTTGATGCTAATGTGGTTTGGGATACTAAGAAATGAAAGGGAGGCACGTCTGTAGAAAGGTAAATAATATTTAGGGGAGAATATTTAAGGGAACAACACTCCAAAAATTGATCCATAGCACACTGGCAGGAATACTGAATATTTAGAATCTTTAATACATTGAGCCAGCTCCCATCCTTATATACTTCTTGATTGTTTTGTAGTGAACTACATAGTTACTGTCACTTAAATAGAAGCTCAGGGTATTATTCACAAATGTCAATTCCATTAAGTGCTTGAATATTTAGTCATGGAATTGTGATTATTTCCTATAACTTAATCTTTATTTATTTATTTATTTATTTACTTACTTACTTACTTACTTACATTTATTGGCTGCCCAACTCCAATGGACTCTTTAAAAAAAGGAATGAGAAAGGATTGGAAAAGAAGAAAGCTGCAGATTTCTATTACATACTATCTACTGAAGCAATTTACACATCAGTATTCTGTGAAGGTCATATGATAGGGTTATTCTTATGTAGATCTTGGTTGAAGTAAAACAAGAAAAAACAGAATAATGTTTATTCTAGTGCTTCAATTCTGCCCATTTCACAATCAGAAGGCTATGACAATCTATATAAAATAGAGAGCACAAATCCTTGGTGACTTTATGGACATGTCTATATAGTTTCCTTGACAAAGTGACCGTCCAGTCAGTTTTTTTCCCCTGACCTCCCACTCTAGCCTATAGCCTATTCTTTTGTGGTGGGGGGAGGGGTACCCATCTCAATACCAACAAGGTTTGACCCTGCTTAACTTTTTGAAGTGAACCAAGTTCAGCCAGGTGTTTAGCATGATTTTCATGCTATGTCTATTTTCTATCTCATGAAATGGGAATTATAACACTCTGAATATGCAATATATCCTAAGTCTTCTACCATCTTTCAGCTGAACCCTGTCTCCACTGGAACCAATTATACTTTAGATTATAACTAAAGATAAAATTTTTATCTTTAAAAAATAAAAATATAAAAATGTATTTTTATATTTATATTCAGAACAAAAACACATAACTTGAATCTATGACAAGGCATCCTGTCACTCAGAATATTCTATTGATACTGAGCTTGCAGAATTTCAGATAAACTCATAACAGAAGTTAGTGACAGCCAGTACAGACAAGAGCTGTGTTTACCAAACCACGTAATATATATGGATTAGGTTAAGTATATGCTCTGTGATTATATAACACCATGTTTGTAACACCAGCACAAGACACACCAGAAGTCAGTTTTGCATTTTTTTAGTTTTTAGAGTATCGGACTCAATTTTTAAGTGGCTCTGGCTGCTGTGCTTTAGTGTAGTTTTACTGCTGTAAAAAATGTTAATTTCTGGAATAAGCTTATGTTAAAAGAAGAAAAACATGTTAGGCAACTGTTTCTGGTTAGCTGGCAACTGTAGGTGTAGAAGCTGACAATACGTGGGATATAAACAGTGAAGCCAGTTTGCCAATACTGGGTCATCTCCTTACATTTATACCTACAGGGAAATATACTATAATGTGCAGAAAACCAAAGTCAATATTATTAGGCACACAATGGTATATGCTGCTGAGTTTTCAGAAAGAATTTAATTGAAGCACAAACCATTAATCCATTAATAATTCCTAATCAATTCATGATTCCTCTCCCTGTATCATACAATATCTGATCTGAGTTTGTTGCATGGCAGTTAACATTTTTATCATAGCTTTAGCTATTTTTGTACATTTATTAAGAGACAGAAGTTAGTGCCTGCTCCTCCAAAGTTGTAGAATCTATGTCCAGGTTTGACTTTGGTCTTTCTTCCATGGTTCTTTCTCTAAAAATTAATGATAGTTCTCCCCTAAACATAATCAGCACTGTTCCAACACGTAATCCTGTCACTGATTTGTTTAATAGTTTAATTTTGGAGGAAATGTTTTTGTTTGCTTGCTTTTTGTTTTCTTCCCTCTAATCTATGGTTAGCCACCAGACTGCTGGCAAAAGGCTTGAAGATAATGGCCAGGTGGAAATTTTCTTGGCTGCTCTTCCATCAAGAAATGAACTGCTAACATTACTTATCAATAGATTTAATTTTGTAATCCCTTGCATGGTAGTTTGCATATCTTTAGATTGTGATGTAAAGTGGCAGTAATGGCAATAAATTAGCACTATTGTCAGCAGCCCCTGGAGGTCAACATATCGGGCCATATTAGAGAAGCCAGTTCTTCCTTTTGCAGCAGTAAAACAAAAACAAAACACTTTTGTATGACTAGATAATTTGCCTCCTTACTGAATCTAAAACTATATAGCTCTCTCTGAATGCCAAAGTAACTCTCTGTATGTAGCACATGACTGCCAAATAGCTAGGAGTAAATTGATATGTTTGGTTCTCCAGCTTACAATGAAGCATATCTCCTATGGTTGTGCCAAAATCTCAAATTCAAAATATTTCAAAATGGAATGTTCAGATTCAAAATGCTCTGTTAAATGAGCTGTTTCACCCAGGTGGGAATTACTAAGACTTCAAAATTCTTCCAACAACCACCAAAAGAGCCTGTTTCATACTGAGGTCAACTTTTTCAAACAGAAAATTGAGTATTTAAAAAAAAAATGGAAACAGTCCAAATTTCAAATGCCTCACCTATGTGCTTTCAGCATAAACATTTTGTTGGTATAATAACTGCTAAGCTGTGTCCAGCCATCAGTGGGCTTAGGCAAGGTAAGAAAGGTTGGCAAGAACAACTTGGACAGGCTCTTACAGGAAATCATATATTAGAAAAGTGGTTACTTTTCCCAAAAGATACTTCAACATTTACACATCTCAGTTAATAAAGAATTGCATCCATCATTGCAACAGAAACAACAGAAAGAACATTGGAAATCAACTGACTAGTAAACCACAGATATGATAATAGACCACAGGCAAGCACAGAATGAAGCAACAGGAGACTTTTATCAAAGGGCTTTAGCAAAAGATTGAGAGAAAAAGAAAGATCTGACAATACTTCAAATTTATTTAGCAAAGAATTCATGCAATTTAGGCCATCAGTACTGAATAAGACAAGATAATAAATAGCTTTGGTTTTTAATCTGTTTTTGCTTGATGCTTTTATACATTTTGATGCTTTATTAATACTTTTGTGCTCTTTTATAATTAATTTATTTAATTCATTATAGCCTGATAGGAATTATCAGACTTCTGCTTGGGAAATATCTATAACAGAACACAATTCAAGGCTTAGTCCAAACAAAGCTCTGAGGAGGACTCTTCTCTCCTTCCCTCTTTTAGAGGGCCATTACTATCAATTGTCCTGTGGGAAGGGAAGAAGTTCTTTTCAGTTTTTTTAAAACTATTACTTCTGTTTGTTTATCATCATAGCAGTTACATGTAAGCTAATTTGGTAGGATTTGTATCCTGGAAGGAGGGATGTAAATAATTTTAATAAAATAAATAATTACTTTCACATTACTATTACTTTTAAAAAACAGGTAATTTTTCAGTCAATTTTTCAATAACGTTCATGTTTTATTTTATTTCATATTTCATTTCCTTACAGTGATTCGTGCAAAAATTTGTAGTGAAAAAGTGATTGAAGATTCACCTCATACTCATAAAATGATCCGGTATGAAATCAAACAAATAAAGGTATTTAAAACCCCTTGTCTGTTTTGAGGCTCAAATGGTAGGGAACGATATACATTTAAGAGACTAAAACATGCTCTGTGTCATTCTACTGACATTATATCCAATGCTTGAAAAGGAGTAAGAACATGTCCAAATGGACAGCCCTCATGCACATCTTCCATTTCAGAACTGAAACAAAGCAGGAATTGAACAGGTTCTTCTCACGATTTTAGCTATCGAGGCAATACTGGCATTCTTGTAATGCAAGTCTACAACATTTGACAACAACCAGTAGCCAGTCAAAAGGTGCCCTTCATAACCAGTGAGCAGAGCTGTCTCACTTACCAACCAATAATGGGTGCATCTTTCCACTTTCTTTAGTTTTGCCTCAAAAAATAAATCTCTTCCCAAAAAAGCTTTTTAAAAAACAAACTGAAAGCATCTTATCTGCTCACTGTAGCGGCATGTCCTCTGATGTGATTTGTATTGTGGTTCCTTCATCCTGACCTGCAGCTCTGCAACTATGCTGGCAGACCAGGAATTGGGAGTTAGATGCCCTGTGCAAACTACTGGACCAAAATGCATTTGCTCTGTGGAGCTGACAGCTGCTACAAACAGATGTCATCCATATGCAAAAAACCCGTTTAACTGTGGCAAGAGGAAAACAAGCCAAGAGAGATCCAACAAGAATGTCAATTAATCAGTGGAAGGCTCAATTTGCTCTTCAATTAGATTGGAAACCCTGTCTTGTCCCTTAGGCCCTTAAAGGACTCATTTCTGAGTCAACATATATAGGCTACAAAAGAATTTAGTAGCTAAGGGAGAAAAATAATATATCTCATCCACAGTCAGGAGAAATAATTCTGAATTTGAAATTCAAATAGAAAACAACCACTGTAAATTTAATTACAAATGTTTGTGCCAGAAATAAACCTTGAATAATTCCAGATATTAGTTTTGCAGAAAAGCTGCCATTCCACTATCAAGAGAATTTACTGTATGTTGCAAGCAAAATACTACAACATTGCAGAAATGTGAAGACTCCTTAAGAGTTTTGGATTTTTCATATATGAATGATGCTGTCTTCAAGAGAGCCAAAAGCAGTCTATTTTAAGACATCTAATGTCCAGCTATAAAGTTAAGAGACAAAGAAGGAATAATTCTTATCCATAACCAATATCAAGTTTATTTTATGTCTCATTGGCATTGGCAGATTTCCTACTAGGATGTTCTGTGATGTAATTAAAAAACATTGACCAATAACCTTAAAACATGTTGGTTACCTCAGGCTGTATGGCATCCTGTATACTTCTGCTAGAGAAAGGATACCGTTTTTCCCCATTTTAACTACTGTTGATCCTCCTTGTCTTGACTGTAGCTTTGACTGTTATTGGCTGTTACATTTTTTGCACTGCCTTTTAGGATGGGAACTTGGGTGCAGTATACTGAGTGGTTTTGCTCCTTTTATGGAGTTGAGGTTATATAAGGTAACACTTGGGAGCACAACCTTTCTCAACAGCCTAGAAATGTTAAAACAAATTAAATAATTCTCAATATTATTTCAAGTAGGATATAAGATATTATTATACCACCAAATAGACTAAATTTTTACACTACAATGCCTATCTACTCCTGGTGGGATTAATGCAGAAAAAACAGGGGCAATATTTCATGTTTTCCCCTCTGTTTATATCACTTTCTGTTGACTGCAACCCTTGGTAATTACTTTTTTTTTTACCCCAAGTGCAACTCCCATTTGCAAAAGCCAAACAAACAAAAACCAAACAAACTGGTTATTCCTGCTTGTATAGTTTTCCTTACTGTAAGAAGAATTGCTTTCTCAACAAGGCTATTCAAGTTGGATTCCTAGGTGAGAGTGGCTGGAATTCATACTTTCTAAATTTGGCAGTATGAGGTCTATGTTTGCTGCTGACATATAGCCACCGGTGTTCATGCTTCGTCATTTCCAAATTAAATAACTATAATGAGGATAGTTTGGAAATTTAATTTACTACAGAAAGCAGCAGTTTACCTGAAATGGATTTGTATACACAATACTATCTGTTTTGGAACACCTGCCCCGTCGTTTCATTCCTGATCCCAGTTCAAAGTGCTGAGTTTAGTCTGCTTCAGAAGGGATTTTGTCCCTATGTTTTTAAAAATATTTTTGTTTGATGTTTTTCCTTTTTTTCCCCACAGTTTGCAAATCGCTTTATTTATATGTTTATTTATAACATTTGTATAGCTGCCCATCTTAAACCCAAGTCTAAGTGGCTTACAACCAATAAAACAATATCTACAATCATAAAACCAACTGCAATAAAACTGAAAAGCAGAAAAACCTGGTGCCACAATGGTACTTCCCTGATGCCTGTTCTCATCTCAGCCTGACCTTAACTTATCCCATAACTTGGGGGAAGAGCCAAGTCCTGAGTGCTCTCTGGAAGGATAAAAGGGCGTGGGCCTGTCGGATCTCTAGGAGGAGGGTGTTCCATGGGGCAGGGGCTGCAATGGAAAAGGTACGCTTCAGAGGACTCACAAGATGGCAATGTTTAAGGGACCTGGAACATGCCTGCCCTATCCACTCTGGTTTTAACTTTGGAAATTAATATGAAAACCATATATCAGTATTTTAAAAGAAATAAATATCTATGGCAAGATACCAGTGAGAAAATATTCACTATTAAGGTTTACCACGCCTGGTCAAAAATTACTATTTTGAATAATAAAATTAACTTAAATCAAGCTACTGACTACAAGGCTTCCCTTAAAATAACAACTTCCCCCTTTGAGGAGTTCTGTCTCATAGCGAGTTATTGATTATGTGCCACCAAGTCACTGTCACCTCTTAGCGACCACATAGATAGGTTTTCTCCATGATGATCTGTCCCTAACCTGGTCCTTCAGCTCTTCCAATGACACTCCCTTCACCCCTGTAACTGAGTCTATCAACCTTCCTGCTGGTCATTCTCTTCTCTTTCCTGCCACCTTTCTCAGCATTAGAGCCTTCTCCAGAGAACTAGGTCTTCCCATCATGTGTCCAAAGTAGGATAACTTGAGCTACATCATTTGTGCCTTGATTGAGAACTCTGGGTTGATTTGTTCAATGATCCATTTTTTTTGTTTTCTTGGCTGTCCATTGTATTCTCAGGAGTTCAAAAGCGCCAATACTCTTCCTATTTTGCTTCTTCAAAGTCCAACTTTCACTTCCATAAAGTGTCACAGGGAATACCCATGGCTTGCACAATTCTGATCTTTGTAATATAGACACATCACAAATCTCAGTCAAGAAACCATTGTGTAATTTAGTTGTTGTTTCTCTCTTTTTACATTAGATGTTATATAACTATATCTATTTAAGACAATAGGACAAAAAAACTGGGTTTTGGAAAATATTTTTGAAACCTAAGGAACAGGTACTTATTAATCAGAGTGCTAATTTAATTCATTCATGGGTGTCCACAATATTTGTTGTGTTACATTTGTATGACAGAAGAGGGAAAAGATTTCCCACAATAAAGGAATCAGTTTGGGAAAACAAGAAATAGAGTTTATGAACATCTCCATAGAGATCTCCATAGAGATTAGAGGTCATCAAAGGAGGGATGGAATCAGCAATGAAGGCTCCTGACATGAAGACAGAGCAAGTTTCAGGTGTCTCAATGCATCTTAAAAGTATGTATACATATAATAGAGAGAGAGTAACTATACTATCTCTCTATTATAAGGCAGCAGACTGTCTTCCATATTTTTGGAGAAGCTTCACATTTCTGACCACCCTAAACTCTGTTGAACAGAAATTTAGCAGGCACAATACAAAAAGTGGGAAGCCAAGCAGTGCAAACTTTAATATTACAGTAACACAGCATTATGTTAAACTGTTTTATACAGGCTTATACAGAATCTTTCTTTTTTCTAATAGATGTTTAAAGGTTTTGAAAAGCTGAAAGATGTTCAGTATGTTTTTACACCTTTTGATTCATCTGTTTGTGGGATAAAATTAGAAGCTAACAAGAAGAAAGAGTATCTCCTTACAGGTATAGTATATTGAAGTCAAATACTAAAGTCCATACAAGATCAACATTTTTGCTATATAGCTATCAGTGACATTTCTGTTAAAAGTGAAAACTTTTCTAGAAAATTATTAGTGTGTGTGTGTGTGTGTGTGCATATACAGTATATAGTATATAGATGGAAACTATAATAGCAAATGCAAATCAGTGCTGCCCATTACTTTACAAGATGTATGGACCCACCTCCTTGGATAAATTAAAATAAAACAATAAATAAAACTTTCTCTCCCCCCTCCCCCAATAATTTAAGAACCACAGGGGAAAAAAAAGAAAAAAGAAAATTGGATAAAGTTTGTAGATGTTGGTGGTGTACAGATTTAAACCATTATCTTCTTTCCCAGGCCTATAACAGATTATATATTCTACTGGAGAGTTTGATTGATTTAGTGTCTGTGGATTACGTCTCTGGCACTGAGAATGTTTGAGTCCCTTGTTTCAACATTTTCTCTACTTCAGGTCAAATTTCAGATGATGGAAGAGTTCGTATTCATTTATGCAATTTTATTAAACCATGGAATGACCTTACCTTATCTCAAAAGATAAATCTAAATCAGAGATATGAAATGGGCTGTGACTGTAAAGTAAGTATATCAATTAGATTGAAATGAATTTAGAGTACTATTACTATATTGGTTGTGTATCAACACAAGGAAGATAAGTAGAACAAGGCAGGTTGTTAGAATGCATAAGCTTTAACCTACCATGTCTAAATGATACATCCAAATGCTATAGCAATCTAGCCATGTCATAATACCTAATACTGTTTTCTATACATATCCCACTGACCTTCTGTACAATTTTCTCACCTGTGTCATATATCCCTTTAGTAGTTAATTACTATTAAAAAATCGATCTATTTACATGATATGCCTGCAAACTTCACTAATTGCAGTGGTCTGTATAAATATCTGTGTAAATTATTTATAATCTATATTTATAAATGCTTCAGGTGTAGCAAAAGTGATGCAACAGGCTACTCTTCCTTAAAATTAAGGTTGAAACAGCCTATTTTGAGTATTTCCGAAGATACCACATCCAAAAATGCTGATGAAGTCAGAACTTTTCAACCTCTAGACATTTTGCATACCACTATTTATAGCTGTATAAAGCTTATTAATACCTTATGATCCTCATGTTGAGAACTTATTGTTACTATTAATGTCACCATTTAGCTTCTCAAATCGATATACTGGATCATGTGGTCATTAATGCCTATTTTACGATCCTGCCCATAATGTCTTCCATGACCACCAACCTTATTTAAAGATTCAGATATACCTGCACTGAGAGTTAATGAAGTAGGTCCCCAATTGTACAGAGAGGTATACTTGAATTCAATTTCCCTTGAAACTTCCCTAATCAATGCAGAAAACAAATGAGATGGGCATAGATGAAGGACACAAAGGAGGTCACCTTATGCCATCTTGTCTGCCTATATACTTTTTGACCTTATGTATTTTATAGTGGAATGGATGAATAAACCTTTAACCTGTAAAATTACCTGTACATATTTAACTGATTACAGAAAGTATAATTCAATTCAAATAAAATCTAGTTGTTTTATGATGGAAGCCACACAATTTATTTATGCTACTCATACAGGAATTAATCTTACCCTTGTTCTGCTGCAGCCTATATACTACCAAGTAGTTTCAGTTGCTGTTTTTTTTAAAAAAAACTTTTACTAGACAACTATATTTATACATTATCACTTCCCTTAATATTAAATAAGAAGGACTAGCACCAAAAGATGGATGGTGCATGCCTCCAAGATGGTTTTCTGTACTTAAGGTGCACACTGTAGATATCAAGATGATGCATAACAGTCTTTTAGATGCACAAAGGTCATTTTGGTATAGAGCTATAGTCCCTATAGAAAAAGACCTTGAAATAATATATTGTACTGATATATATTTCTGTGTTGAAATAATTCATCATGCACTTATGAAATATGTGTATTTATAATTCTCCAAAGTTCTATCCTTGCCTCATCTCAAAGCATATGTGGATTGTCCAAACAATTTACAAATTGTCAGTACCTTTACATTGATAAATGATTAATAAGTGTCTACACCAGTGTTTCTCAACCTCAGCAACTTTCAGATGTGTGGACTTCAACTCCCAGAATTCCCCCGCCCCCCCGCCCC